AACACAAGACCAAGTTGCGACAACGAGGTCAACCCACTTCTATAAGTCGAAAGGGGACTGCGACCATACCTGAGGCCACAACATCTTGGTCTTCACATCTTCAAATTATAGCAAAATTGAAAAAATATGATAACATCTAAGGCATTCGTATAATTTAGAAATAAAAGCTTGGTTTAAAAAGTCCCTTGGTTTGTGCCCTGAGCTTGGTATGATTGTGCGGCTAGCCAAAAGTGATTATTCAGATCATTCGCCTTTTATAAATAGGTCTTGGAGGCTACCAGTAGATCTGATATGAAAGTTTTATTTAGCCTATTTCGATTAAGGTGATGAAGGACCGGTACCAGAATTTTCCCACAATGGCATGATAAGAATTATTTCCATTTATTTTCACATAGCTGTGCCCTCAAAAGCAATTCTCAACCAAGGCCCGCCTGCAGTTCCAATCTCTAACTCTTAGAGGAACTCGAACCCTGGTAGCAGCATATAATCTCTATAATCTATATGCAGCATATAATCTCGATACGCTAGCACCTAAGCCACACTGCCATATGTGGCTTTGGGCTACAGGTTAGAAATAAAATTCACTCAAGCCTAGGCCTTTCCCACATCACATTTCTATGGTAGGATTGCAGGCGACAGCTCATAGCATTCTAGTAAATCCAGCTACCCGTTCTTAATCACCATAAACGAACTAGGATGAATATAGCTCTTATTTAAGATTTACTGGTAGTCTCAAAAACCTACTTATAAAAGGAAAATTAATTATGTAGTCGATTGCTATAGCAACTGAAACTTTGCTTCGTCGGCAATCCCACCACGGAAATGTGCTATGGTAAAGGCCTAGGCTTCCTTAGAATTGCCTTCCACCCAAGGCCACTCGTAGCAGTGTGGCGTAGTGATTAGCATGCCAAGACTCTATGCCGCTCTACTCTGGTTCGAATACCGCTAGAGGTACTAATAAGACCCATAGGAGGTCGAAACTGCAGTCCACCCTGGATAAGAATACCCTTCGGGAAACAAGGCTAAGTGAAATTCACTGGGAGCGTGACACCTATTTAATTTATTGTGGGAATACTCAGCTACCAGGTACTCAACACCATAAACGAAGTGGGATGAATACATCTCTCGTATTATTCGGATTGGTTTGCCGGAGTAAGTTCCACTACTCTGATCAGGTCATTAGAGCCAACGTTCACCAATCAAGCCTTTGATGCCACTAACAATTCTTCAGTAACCAGATCCCGGTCTTTATGGCTTAATATGGACGAGCATCACTGTTAAGCACTTCAATGTATATGAGGACCTGATTTAAATAACTTAGGTGTTTAACTTATAAAGTTAGTCTTTTGACTCTAACTAGAGGCTTAGTTTATAAATGATCACCTGCTGGATAGCTGATGGGCTGACGGTTTACTCTACATTGTATAGGATTTCTTTTGTCTGGCAATGATTACAAAAAGACTCAAACAAATAGCTGCCCAAGCATATAAAGATACACACAGGTTTTTAAAGCAGTGAATAAACAGAGTGTCACAAATTTGAGCTGTCATAATTTATTCAGAATCACCCATAAATCAAATAAATAACTCGCACCAATTTATTGTATGAAGCGACTTGCCAATAACCCCATCTGATAAGAGGCCCAAAAAGCTCACCTTATAAGCCCGCTGAAGAACTCCGATCGGAAAATTATCAACCGGTTCCGTGGTCAGCCAGATACGGAAATCTGGATGAATTTTTAATGTTTCGTCAAGCATCTTTTCCAGTCGACTTAGCCACCACATCAGCAAATGGCAGTTTTGCAGTACCAGCCACTGGCCCCTGGCCACGCAGTGGGCAAAGAGGTTTTCAGCATGCTGGATAGAATATAAATGAAACAGATTGAAGATGGTAAATAAGCTCACAGATCAGAAATAGAATAAATTATATAAAATTGTAGACATTGGGTTCTAAATAAGATTTTACTTTATTTCGTCTATAAATAGGTTTTAAGATTTTCCTTTTTTTTCTTTTGAAGGGCTTGAATTATCACATTAAGGATCATGAAGATACGAAAATAAGCAAGTATGTGAATTCTCATCTTAGAACATGCCACAATTATTGAATATTTACGATTAGGTAGTATAAAAATTATGCAGACAATTTAAATATAAACTTGCATAATGAAAGCTGACTGAAAGCCACATCAATACAGCTAAGAATTATTGAATAAATTCTACCGGAGGTTTGCTTCTACATGCTCAGTGTTCGTTTGGGTCCGTTTTAAAGCACTTTGCTAGGATGCACGACTTAAGGCATATAGATCTCTTATTTGAGAAAGGATTCTCTTATCTCTGTCTTAGTTTTCCCCTCATATGTGGCTCGCCAAAAGGGAATATCTGGATAAGTTTGCTGAGTGAGTTCGACCATCCTTGTCAGGCCATTTGAACCGCTGTTGATGAAACAGCCTTTATGTTTTAATAATATTGCTTCTGGATCCAGCCCTTACTAACTAGAGTAGTATAACTAATTTGCTCTCAAATATATATTTGGTCATATTTGGTCAAGTAAGGCGTTAATTGATTGAGGGATACATTTCCCACGAAAGGGCATAAAGCCAGTGAATTTTACTTAATGTTGCCGCAAAAAAGGCTCTAATATAAGGTGGACGGGATTTTTTACCTTGTCTACGCCTCATTAATACCCAAATAGAATTCTAAAATGAGTTTTGGAAAACAAGCAGATAGTTTCTACTACAACATAAAGCCAAAGAGCACATGAGTCACAAGAGAGGGTGGTAACTTTACCACTGCACAAACAAGCAAGTTTTAAATCCTGTTGGTGATGCTGACGAAGCTAAGAAACCGAAACTACAGTCCATCTTGAATAATAAATTCCAGGTCAAGTGAAATTCATTTTCACGATAAGAACTTATAATCATTCAATTCTGGGAACTTAAACTATCTATCTTACATAGGCTAAAGTCACCTGAGCTGACTCATGTTCTTATTCGATAAATATTGGTTGCCTGGAGGCCACCGTAGTCAGGACAGGTGAACTGAAACCTTGCACGTTGAATGCATTTAGCATTCCCATAACTTTTCCTTAAATAAAAATGTCCAATTTATTCGATCACGAATCGAAGACACAAGCCCTGTAGAGAACTGATTTCGATAGATGTTCTTTTGATTAGCCCTTCAGAAAAATAATATCTTTTTTGTCAATCCCTGCATGTAATCCCTATTTTTGGTTATCATGTAAATAATGTAAGCTTTACCATGCTTCATGAGTTTTCCAAATGTACTAAGGATAGTATTGAGGCTACCACTCATCTGACATAATACAATAGCAATATTGGTTGTATAAATTTCAGCTTTACTCTGATGCATTTTGTCAGTATCGTGTCTATCGACAAGAACGTACAATTTCCTGCCCTTGGCCCATAGATAGATACTTGACACGGTTAGCTGTCATTTCCATTTTGGCTGCCAAATCATTGATTCCTTGGGTTGGATCACAGCCTGGTTTCACAATCAATATAATCGGCACTGTAGGTGATGTGGAAGTGACTACGTCGTTAAGGTTTGGCTGAGGTGGGTTCACATAAGCTTTACCCATGGTACGTTGAATGTAGCGTCGAAGACCAGCTGGAATGCGGTCCATTCTCAAGCAACGAAGTAAGCAAAGTTGCTGCACTGGGCGAAGATTAGAAGTGGATCCGGGTCCTGTTTGTAATTCAGGCTGATTACTGGCTAGCCACTGAGTAGTAGCAGAAACCAAGTTAAATAAGCAGACAAATGAATTGGGTATAAGGGAGGGATAATAAGGTGCTTTATAAAGTAACCTATAATTTTAATAAATATGATTATAAATGGCAAAACTATACGCATACTTATTAATAATTTTAAGTATATAAGAACGAGACTAAACTCCTCTATTATACCTATGTTCTACCTACTTACCTTCTTTGTATCTTGTAAAAAAGATCCACTTACCGCTCTCCAGTCTACTGCCTTCGTCTGCAGTTCTGATGGAAGATGGGCAAAACTTCGCGGCAGCCAAGCCGCCAAGTAAACGGCATCTCTCCAAGATGTCTCTGAGAGCCAAGTAACTGGGGGTATTAAGGCCTGATCAAGGAGACAGGGGTTACCACGCACTAAAAAGCAAAGTTCCTTGGTTCTGATTAGCTTGTCCTCTTGCTGCATACGGATGGTCATCACAAAGGCTAGGAGCAGTTTGTGCTTCTCAAAAATGCCTGGGTATCCAAAAATAGCAATGAGGAGAGGACATAAGATATGACCGGATAAATTTGTGTGATCTTTGAGTAAATGAACAAATATATGCCGAAATTTATGAGAAAGCATAAAAGTTGGATTTATGAGCATTATATTGCGACCAGTTAAGAATGTACCAGAGGTCTGATTTGCCATCATTAAGTACGTCTATGCGGCTTCCTGAAATTATCGGGAGTCGATATAAAAATGAATGCTTTAGCTATAAGAAATAACATTAGTTTTTTTAATCGGTATTTATTATTTGATTGGACATGGGTTTTAAGGAGCCCATATTGGTCTCAATCCCGTACTTACTCTGTAAGCACAAGTCGCTTGTACTATATATCGCAATTGATAAAGTGCCTATCTTTGTTAAGGCATATATTGTCTTGTAATTCGTTATTGGATGACTAAGGGGAATATAAAA